CTTTAAAACTAAATATGTTCCCTAAAACGGTGACAGAGCTACAGACCCATGACAGCCTTACACAGGTAGCCAGCAGCTGTGACCAGCACTACTTGTGCAGTTAATAAAAGGACAGGTAATGTTTGTCGCGCTGTTGCACACACAGCACGCTCGTTTGTTTCAGTTCGTCAGTTGCAACAAGACAGCTTACCAACGTGTACGTAATAAGCTAATACTCCTGGGTGCTACACACTACAGTGTACGCTGTACACCTACTTACTGGTTGTGTCGCATCAGTCTGTGTCTCTGAGTTAACTTGTGTTTCTCCTACAGCTCCGGACCGCAAAAAATGCGCGTGCTCTTTGTGAGCTCGTTCCCGGCTCGTAACCAGCGCGTTCTGCCGTCAGGGCGATCATTGGTTAAATGTGATCATGTGACTGATGCAAGCCAGATCCTTTTATTTAGCAAAACTATGATTAATAGTTAAATATTATTGTTGAGGGGCACAGACAGGACTCCGCACGCACACACACATAAAATTAAAAAAAAATTTAAAATTTTTTTTAAAAGTTGCCTCAACAAAAGGGCACTTTGGGCACTCATCAGGAAAGGGGCGGGTGCTCAAGCCCCTCTAGCCCCCCCCTCTGCACGTCCCTGTTCTTTGGTGTAGAATGAACGGCTGTTATCAGCAGGAAAAGCTGTCCAACGATTTATGCACTTCCTCATATTTTCTGCAGTGTTTGCCTGACCGATTCTGGCCCCCGGGCCTTATTTTTGACACCTTTGGGTTATAAGCAGAATATATAAGGTGTCTGTTGTCTGTCTCCCTGCTTGTTACAAAATGACACCTTCAATACAAAATAAACCGACTGGGTGCACGAGGACAGGATGAGGCAATCAGGAAGTAAGAATACATTTTTAAAAATGCATAAATATTATCAGCCTTTTCTTGTAAACGTCAGGTGTCACAGGGGATGTTTAAATCTTCACTGCTGTTGAAACGTCTAAATTAAACTAAAAATGTTGTTTTAAGCAGACTTTGTGAGCGCAAACATATTTACATTTGCTAACAAACAAAGTTGAACTTTGATGTTAAACAAGCGCTGAAGTGAAAGAGTCTCCACCTACAAACACTTGCATTATAAAACAGGAGGTCTGTGTGCAGACAGGCTGATCACATCCACGATGAGAGGACTCGCACTGCTCTGTTTGGTGGGATTTATTCTCACAGCTTCGGTAAGAAAATATCATGCACCTGTTTGATGTTCATGGATTTCCTGAAAGAATTAACAGTCTCACTGAGCTTATAACAAGTGATAATCTACATAAATGTTTAGATTTCATCTTTAACATTGTAGGACTGTTGTTAGTTAGTTAGTCCAGTATGTTTTTAATTTCTGTTTATTTATTTTGACCAAGAATCAGCTGGAGTGTGTCTCATGCTGCTGACTCGCTGAGATTAATTGATTAATGCTGCTTTGTTTGCTTTGAAATGTCAATGACCTTCCAGCACTGAGGGGGAAAAGGCAAAAATAAAAACCTCCAACACTTAAATCTGTATATTGTTATTCTATTAAAGCGTTTTCCATTTTCTTTTCAGCTGCATGAAGGAGGCGCAGCACCATCATCGGATGTAAGTTAGAAAAACAAAAAAAACAACCTGTTGACACGAGTGGCATTATTCACCAGTAATTATAACATTATAATATTATATATAAATGTGTGTGTGTTGTTTTTTTTTACTTTAGAATCCTGGCAACTGGCATCCTCTTGAACACACTGGCAATTTTCCAACTGCTCCAACTCATGTAGTAAGTAACACCACAAAAATAAGCAATATTTATATGTCCATGCGTGTCCTGCAAGGTGTAAAATGATAAAAAGTATCAAATTATTTGTTTATTTGTGCAGGTTATATTTTATTTAGATGTTGGGGAAGGGTTGGGTTTAAAGATCTGTAACTAATGTAATCCAACACATTTCAGAACGGGACCTTGCATCCAAATAATTCTACTCATGCTGGAAATGCCACAGAAATAAACAAGAAAGAAAGGCCTGAACTAAACTAGTACAAAATGTTGTAGAGAATAAAGGAAAGTAAAGAATGCAAACATATTTACATTTGCTAACAAACAAACAAAGCTGAACTTTGATATTAAACAAGGGCTGAAAGAGTCTCCACCTACAAACACTTGCATTATAAAACAGGAGGTCTGTGTGCAGACAGGCTGATCACATCCACGATGAGAGGACTCGCACTGCTCTGTTTGGTGGGATTTATTCTCACAGCTTCAGTAAGAAAATATCATGCACCTGTTTGAGCTTCCTTTAATGAACTGATTTCCTGCCTAACAGTTAAGTTAGACTTCAGATTTAAACACAAGTTGGACTTAAATGAATCAGCTGGAGTGTGTCTCATGCTGCTGCTGACTATCTGAGATTTACTGATTAATTATTTGCTTTGAAATGTCAATGACCCTCCAGCACTGAGGTAATAAAATAAAAATAATTAAAAACCTCCATCTTTTAACTTTGGTTTATCATTATTTTGATTATCATTATGTATAAAATTGATCCATTTTCATTACAGTTGCATGGAGGAAGCCCAGGAAGCACAAGCAAAAAGTGTTTTTGTAACTTTTAAAAAAGTACTATTATGCACGACTAAAGAAGCCGTAAATAAACAAGTTATTTTGTGTACCTTAGCTTGGTTGTAAAAATCACCTATGTACAGCATCTCAATGATCAAAACATAAGCAAATATAATGACTTTTTTGGCTGTGTTACCATGTGCAACTGTGTAATTTACGTTTGTGTCTGTGTTAAAATGATGTAAAGTCATTATTTGACAGAAACAATTCAGTTTTACGAAGTTAGAGTACAGATAATGAAACAGTTGCACACAGAGGTTACAGCTATTGTTGGTTTTAAACCTTTGTCTCATAATTTACATATTCAGTTTCAGTTCTCAGAATCCAAAACGAAGAAGCAAAATGTTACAATTTCTTTCTTTTTTGTGTCAACTTCTGCCT